CGTGTCTCTCTGAGGTCTGAACGTGTCTCTCTGAGGTCTGAACGTGTCTCTCTGGGGTCTGAACGTGTGTCTCTGGGGTCTGAACGTGTCTCACTGAGGTCTGAAGGTCTGAACGTGTCTCACTGTTGGAATAAAGACACAGAACGTTCTGGATTGATTGATGATTTCTCTTATGATCAGATCAATAAGCTGCACCTGTGTAAGCCTCTGATCAGAGCCATCGACAGCTCCAACCTGAAGAACGACTACAGTCCGGCTCAGAAGGTCACCTACAAATACTACGTGGGCCGCAAGGCCATGTTCGACAGCGACTTCAAGCCAGGTAATACTGCAGTACTACTCTAAAAATACTACTGTAACAATACTGTAATACTACTGTAAAAATACTGTAAAGTACTACTGTAAAATACTGTAACAATACTGCAATAATGCTGTATTACTGCAGTAATACGTAATAATACAGTAATGATAAAATAATATTACGTGGGCCGCAAGTAGTACCACTGTAATAATACTGCTGCAGTAATTCTTCTGTCTCTTTGTGTAGTTTCTAATGTTCGATGTATTTGTCCTTTAAGTCGGTGATTTCCTAAAACAACAGTAATAATATAAACATTAATAATCAACATGATTGATTATTGATCGTGTTATTGATAACGTGTCTGCAGCGGAGGAGTTCCTGTCGTATGCTTTCCATCACTGTCATCCATCCAGTCAGAAGAACAAGAGGATGATCCTAATCTACCTGCTGCCCGTCAAGATGCTGCTGGTGAGAGACCAGTTGAGACCAGTTCAGACCATTTCTGTACCAGTTTATACCAGTTCAGACTCGTTCAGACCACACAGACCCGTTCAGACCAGTTCCCCCAGTCTGATGGCAGCTTGTTGTTTCAGGGTCACATGCCGACTCATCAGCTCCTGAGGAAATATGACCTCATGCAGTTTGCCGACGTCACCAAATCTGTGAGGTAAGCAGAGGTGGTAGCACAACAGGAAGTGACATCATCGTGCTGTCAGGTGATCTCACAGGTGAACTGTGTTTCAGTGAGGGGAACCTGCTGCTGCTGAACGAAGCTCTGTCCAAACACGAGACCTTCTTCATCCGCTGTGGGATCTTCCTCATCCTGGAGAAGCTGAAGATCATCACCTACAGGAACCTCTTCAAGAAAGTGTGAGTCCAGTTCCCCCTGGTGGATCCCACCGTTACTGTAGCCAGAGACAGGATAGTCCAGTTCCTCTTTGTGGATCCCACTGGTGCTGTAGCCAGAGACAGGATAGTCCAGTTGCTCCTGGGGGACCCTCCTGGTACTGTAGCCAGAGACGGGATAGTCCAGTTCCTCCTGGGGGATCCTACTGGTACTGTAGCCAGAGTCAGGATAGTCCAGTTCCTCCTGGGGATCCCACTGGTACTGTAGCCAGAGTCAGGATAGTCCAGTTCCTCCTGGGGGATCCCACTGGTACTGTAGCCGGAGTCAGGATAGTCCAGTTCCTCCTGGGGGATCCCACTGGTACTGTAGCCAGAGTCAGGATAGTCCAGTTCCAGTTCTGACCTCAGCTTCTATCTACAGGTATATTCTGCTGAGGACTCACCAGCTTCCTCTGGACGCCTTCCTGGTGGCCATGAAGATGATGCAGCTGGACGACGTGGACCTCGACGAGGTACAGTGTATCTTGGCCAACCTGATCTACATGGTGAGCTCCCCCACACACACACACACACACACACACACACACACACACACACACACACACGAACAGGAAACACCTGGGACTGAAGACAACTCTTCTTCTGTGGTTTCTGTCTCCTCTCAGGGTCACATCAAAGGTTACATCTCCCATCAGCACCAGAAGCTCGTGGTCAGTAAACAGAATCCGTTCCCTCCTCTCTCGTCCGTCTCCTAGACTACGTTACCCACAAATCCCCTCTGACTGTGATGCTCTTTGGAAACTATTCAGTGAACTCTTTTTTTCTTATTTTGTACTGTAAAAAAACATGTTGAATAAAACAGATGGTGGTTTCTACAGCGTGTTGAACTTCTGTGTTTCCTGGAGGCTTTCGATGGTGCATTGTGGGTACTGGAGTCTTTATTCTTATTCTGACAGCAATTCGTTACTTTTAAAGCCGCACATCTCAAATACAAACTGCTGATGATATGCATATGATCTTCATGTTCAAAATGTTTCATATTTCTTCCGTTTTTTGCACAAATGTTAAATAATTACTTTGTAAATAGTTAACTAAAAGGTTCAACTTTCAAACTACATGCTAGTGCTTTTAAAGCTCAACAATTTTATTTCTTTACTAATATAACCCTCTGAGAAGAAGAAGAGAAGGAATCAGTTGGAAGCTTAGATTTAAACAAACAGCTTCCTGTTTCAGTTTTTCACAATAAAAGCTCAACTTCTACAGGATCCTGTCATGTGACACAAACATGTAAATAAAAGATCTGGAGTCTGAATGATTCTGTTAAATCTGCTAAAATATTTATTATTATCAACGGAGAGAAGAACATCGTCAGCGTACCGGCTGATTCATCATTTTACAACAATTTTGTATTTGAAGAAAAATAATCTATAAAATCCGATAAGAAGCATCATAGGATTATTTGATGGAGGAGTTTTAAAGATGGCGGTCTGTTGCCGGGTCACTCAGCGGGATACTGGCTGACCTGTGAGGTCATGTCGTCCTCGGCCGCCTCCAGCCTTGGTCGGATCCAGCTCAGATAGCGGGACAGTTTGGTGAACACCAGGCCGTCACAGCCTGATGACATCAGCAGCCCTGTCAGAAACGCTGTCCCTCGGTCCACCGTGGCGACCGGCGACCCTGGCAACAGACCACCGCCGACCTCTGACCTCGAACGGCGGTCAGATTCTGAGGGCTCCTGGTTCAGGATCTTTGACTCGTTGTAGTTTTCTGCTCCATTGTGCATCCCATTATGGGCTGGATTTTGGTTCTGGTTCCTTACAGGTCCATTCTGGTTCCCTACAGGTCCATTCTGGCTCCCTACAGGTCCATTCTGGCTCCTCATGCAGAACATTTTGTTGCTGAGTGAATGCGAGACGTTCATCCGCGTGCGACACTCGTCCAGCTTCACGTAGACCAGTTCCTGGGTCCGCCCGCCGCCCCCACGCTCCGTGGCGACGCCCGTCCTCCCAGAATGCATCAGGACGTTTTCGCTGAAGTCCTTCTTAGGCAGGCAGAGGTGGATGAGGGCGGGGCTAAAGGAAAGGGGGCGGGCCAGCTCTAGGAGGGCGAGGTCATTGTCGTGGTGATCCGTACGGAAACTATCGTGGACGTAAAGCGCCCGGACGGGAACCAGCGTCGTCTCATCACCGTCGCCTAGAAAACAAGAATAATTATCATCCAGTGGACTTTTATTGTGAAGTTGATCTTTATTTCACAATAAAAGTCCATTTCTGCCTAAATTTAAAAAAAGAAAATCATGCTTTTATGTTCTTTGATGTAGTCTTCAAGATTTAAGGACCAAATAACATCCCATAATTAATAATTCATAATTATCTAAAAAACAGTTAGATAATCCAGTTAACTACGATCCTTTATAGTAAAAATAAATAAATATATATATATATCTATATCTATATATATATATATATCTATATCTGTTAATCTGAACCCACTAAATACCTCAACACCGGCCCTTTAAATCTCACCTGTCCAACACATTAAAAGCACTGATACAACGTTCAGGTAATAAACTTCATACCGGCGACCACGGCGAAGTCGGAGGGTCGGAGGTGAGTTGGCGAGCCAGCCAGGAGGCAGCGGGCGGCGGTCAGGACAGAGCGGCGCCCCAGCACCACGCCGCCACACGGCTCCGCCCCTCTGCTGCTCAGCAGGGACACCTGGAGCGGCAAAACAAACACCTGAGTAAAAACAAAACAAGCTCAACGCCTCGCTGAGAGATGCTCTTTACCTGCCAGGGACAGTTTCCATGGCGACACATGGAGGGCGTGGCGTTGAAGTTCTCAGGAAGTCGTCCACAAGGAAACTCCACTGAGGACACAAAGACGTTGTTAGTTCGAGCGGGTTTTTGGGTAAACCTGGTGGTGTTTTTTTGGCGTTGCACCTTCGGGGAGGCAGCTCCGCCCGTCGGTCTGTAGTTTGAATCCCGGCACACAGGAGCAGCGGAAGGAGGTGAAGGACGGCGAGCACAGCTGGTGACATGCCGTCGGCCCGTCAGTCGGACACTCGGAGAGCTCTGAAACATTAAACATATTCAATATTAGCCCCGCCCTCTTAGAGGAGGCGGGGCTAATACGTTGCTGTGGGCGTGGCCCAAACCTGCCACGGTGACTTGTGGCGCGGTGGGCAGCCGTCCTTCGGCTCCCAGTTCACAGACCGGTCCGTAGTGGGGGGGGGCTGCAGGAGCAGTGGAACCCCCCCACTTCATCAGTGCAGGTCCCCCCGTGCAGGCAGGGGGGGGGGTCACACTGATCCCCATCTGATCACCGATCGGATCGATACAGACGGATGTAAATAATATACATTTATTAACAACAAGAAATCTGAGATCATTTCTAAAAGTGGAATTATTTATTGATTTGTTTTTATTTGTTTCTTCTCAAGTAAAATAAAATCTTTTCATAAAATATCTCTTTGTTTTATATATGTTTTACATATTAAATCTAAAGATAAAATAACGTATGAAATACACATTTATAACATTTCTTTAGAAAATGTAAAAACAATATTTATATAAAACCAAACATTTCTAATGTTTATTTATTCATTTATATTGAACATATTTTAAACATTTATGACATTTATTTAGAGGAAGTTAAATAATATTGATATTTATTTCTAAAGTAAAAAACAAACCTTTCTATTGTTTCATGTTTATTTGTTATTAATTTCTCATTATTATTATTATAATAATAACTCACCTGTGTAAACGGTCCAGAAGGCGATCTGAAGAGAAACTAACCAGTTAAAACCAGCTGAATCCATCCGATTAATGATTATTGATTATTGAGTCTCACCGTCTTCGGCGTGTTCTCGAAGTACTCGCGCGCCTCCTCGTAGCTGCAGCGCTCCTCGTGACACTCTCGCTCCAGGTTCCCCTGAAGGATCTCCTCCACCAGGTACATGTTGGCCCTCCTGGACCTCAAGAACACCTGCTGGTCCTGAGGGGCCTGGAACACTGGAGACATAACTATTTATTATGATGATATTTATTAGAATAATTAATTAAACATCACTTCTCTGTTGCAAAGTACCAAATTATATAAAAAAATATATAATTGTTAAATTAATTTACATTTATTCACATATTTATTGCCTCATTTATTTATTTCAGGATTTATTTGAAAGGCGTGATCATGTATTTAATCTATTTAAAGACATATTTTGTAACACACACACACTCACACACACATACACACTCACACACACAATAAATCATAATGAACTGTTTCATAATTATGTTTAGTTTAAACTGCAACGTTTTTACTTTTAATATCAGTTCGATTTCATTCCTGTCTGATTGATCGGTTTATAGAAAGATCATTTATTGAATACTGAAATCTGACAAACAACAAACACAACATCACAGGTCGGAGGTCACAGGTCACAGGTCTTACCTTGTGCTCTGATGAGAACCTGAAGGAAGCAAGCGAAGAGGTAGAAGAGAGACGGGAGAGACGCCGACATGATGCCGACCACCATGACACTGACTCACACACACACACACTGACTCACACACTGACACACACACACACACACACTGACACACACACTGACACACACACACACACACACACACAGAAACGTCTAATATGTTGTTCAGAGTCTGGTTCAGTGTTAAACTGTGAACCAGACTCGTTAATAATGACTCAAGTATAAAATGTTGTTAAAACCGTTTTTAACTCTTCTTCAGCTGAACGAGTCGCTCTGTTCCCATGAAGAGTTAAAAGAGGAACAGAAGGTTCTTCACTCGACTCGTCTGTTTGTCTCTCAAAACAAGCAGCAGCTCCGACCTTTCACCTCCGAACCTCCAACTACATGTGGCTTTGTTTGTTTCAGGTAAACAAGAGATTAATCATTTAAAATGAGGATTCAGAGCAAACACAGGAAAGAACATGACGTCTGAGGACTCAGAGCTTCATCATCTTAGCAAAGAATGCTAACATGAGGCTAAATGCTAACGTTGTTTATTCATCCAGACTATGTGACGTCCTCAATCATCTTGTGTTTGTTGTTTCATTGGTGACAAATGTAATTTTTCTAATTAATCTACCAATAAATTGATCAGTAAGTCGACCAACAGTCGATTTATTTATTAGAATAAACACTGGAGACAAAACTCTGTTTATTACAATCATGATTTATTTATTTATATATTTGTTAGAGTTAACAAACATCATCTCTGTTACAAAGAACTACATTATATTAATTATGTTTAGATTATTATAATGAATTATTCATCATATGTATGACCTGTGTTTACAATAATAAACCTGAGAATCAACCACTGAAACAATTGATTTAATATTAAATTAGTTGCTGATTCATTTTAGATAAATTAATGTTTGAAGTTTCACCTTAAAAATTAAATATTGAAATTAAATATAGAAACTATAGATAATGTTTACAGTGATGATCAAAAATATTTTTTTTGTGAATATATTGAATTAACTCAACTCTAATTAAATTAAATAAAGAAAAATGCACCAATAGCGAGAAAGTAAATGTAAAATTTAAGATATTTTAGTTTTATTCAGACAAAAACTTCATTCATCAGACTGTTGTCGTATTTCTTTATTTTGCTTCAACTTCAGCTTTAAAAGCTGCTTTCTGACAATGACTGATAAAAAAATACATGAAAACAGAATGTTTTTTATTGAAACACATTTTTGAATGTTACTGAGCACAAAATTTGCTTTTTTTAGCTGCTGCTTTATAAGCTGATAATGTGATCGGATGATTTGTTTACAAAAAACAATTAATGCAGCTTTAAGAGAAAATCCAGAGGACCCAGAATCGAACCCTGAGGAACTCCAACGCTCCGTTTTTAGCTAACACGTTAGTAGCAGCGGTTAGCTAACACGTTAGCTGCAGCTACTTTAGAAGCTACTCTATGTTTATATGCTGCTTGTTCTGCTGCTGCCTAATGGCCAAACCCCTTCATTAATGTAGCTTTAAGAAGATTAGAAACGTCTTTAAAAACAGATAAAAGTGTGAAATGTGACGGTTAAAACACAACATTGATGATTACATGCGAGGCTTAAAGTGTGGCGGATCTCTGTTCGATGACTTTTGAAGAAGAAGAACTCCGTTCCGGTGTTACAGAACCAGCCTCTTGATGGCACCATGGTGCCTTCTCACCCTTCCACCGCCGCCGCCACTGCTCTTCCCTTCAGGCACCAGCTTGTCGATGCCCTCTCGGATCCAGCGGATGTATTTGGACACCTGCGTGTAGACGCCGTATTTGCCTTTGCGGGCGCAGCCTTCGCCCCAGCTCACGATGCCGGTGATGAAGTAGGTGTCGGAGTAGCGCGTGACATGCGGCCCGCCGCTGTCGCCCTGGCACGCGTCCTTGGCTATCGTGTCGTAGCCAGCGCAGAACATACGGGTGGAGATGCGCAGCTGGGTGGACTCGATGCAGGTCTGCCGGTCCACATAGGGCATCGTGAGGCGCTGCAGGATGGTGGACGGCTGACGGCCTTCGCCGAGTCGGCCGAAACCGCTGACGGTGCCGTCGACCTGCTGCATCAACACCTGCAGGAGGATGGAAGAAATCCAGTTTTTGCATCGTTTTTGATCATATGAGAAGCTCCATATCACTCTTATACAGTAAATATGAGCAGCTGGTTAGCTTAGCTTAGCATAAAGAGTGGAAATAGTGCTAATTTATTATTTCACGCACCTGAACCAGTAACTTCCTGTCGACACAGGTTACCTAGCAACCATGAGAAGGTAAGAAATAATCTGTCAAATTGTTTGTTGGTTACAGAACAAACAATATTTAAAATGTCAATCAGGGAGCTTTAGAGGCGCTAGTAGGAGGAGTTTGTTGCCTTCGGACAGAGCCAGGCTAGCCGTTACCCCTTGTTTACAGTCTGTATGTTAAGCTAAGCTAACCAGCTTTTATGCTAAGCTAACCAGCTGTTGCTTAATATTTACCGTAGAAACATGTGTTGTCACTTTATACAGGTTTAAGTTTCATTCATCCAGCAGAAGTATCTCATAACTTTTGGCTGGATTGTCATGAACTTTGGTTCAGACGTTCATGCTCCCCAGGGGATAAATCCTAAAGAAACTGGTGATCCTTCGACCAGCAAGTCACAGTTTTTACTAAACATATCACAAGATCAACTTGATGAATCGTCAACAATTGGTTCAGACGTTAATGTTCCTCAGAGGATGAACCCTCACACTCTTTAGCGCCACCATAAGGTTGTTTTAAGTCAAACATGTTAATGCTAAGCTAACCAGCTGTTGCTTCATGAGAGTGGTGTCAATTTACTGGTTAAAGTTTCATTCATCCAACAAAAAGTATAACAACTACGAGATTCATGGTTCCCGGAAGTTGTATCCTAATAACCAGCTTCAAAAGTTCACCTTTTCAGCAAAGTCCGACTCAGGTATGCAGGCCGGCAGGATGAACCTGGAGAACTTGATGGGCGTGGCCAGTTTGATGAGGGCGATGTCGTTGTGGTAGGTGTCCGGCCGGTACTTGTTGTGGGTCATGATGGTTTCCACCTGGTAGGTCGCTTCGTTACCGTGATCCACCAACACGTCAAACTCACCTGAACCCACAAAGACATTTTCAGACAGTTCAAACACAGCCGGTAATGAGCCGATTGGTCGGTTTAGACTCACCGAGCTTGACGTAGATGAAGCGTGATTGGTTCATGCAGTGGGCGGCAGTCAGGATGACGTATTCGTTGAGAATGGTTCCTCCGCAGAACCCGAGGTCGTTCTCGTTCAGGAGGAGAGCCTGAGAGGACGAGACGGGACAGATGTTTGTATAACACAACATCTGCTGTAGTGGACTTCCAGATACCTGTAAAGGTCTTCTAATGGTCCACATAGAGACAACAATGGACACCTTGACAGTAATGGACTCCCAGGTGTGGCCAAACAAACATGGATTTCTTCGTCTCTACATCGTTCCTCATTGTCTGACATGAGGACATTATTTATTATCATTGTCCTCATGAAGTGTCTTTACCTGCCAAGGACATTCTCCTGGAGGACAGTCCTCTCCGTTGACGATGCGGGTCATACTCCCCATATTGGGGATGATGATTTCTTCGAAAACTGAGTCTTGGGGAAGCGGAGCCACGTCCAGCGACTCGGTGGATTTGGCGTTGGCGCTGTGGTTTGTCGGGTTGGACTCGGTGACATTCGCGTCCGTCGCGTTCTTCCGCACGTACCTGAAAACAGTCCGGGTGTTTCCGCTGATGACGGCGCCGCATTTGAAGGGTTCTGCAAGAAGCATTTTTGAAATCACATTCAGATATTAGTTTTTGTCCTGATGGTGATGCTACAGGTTTCTAGAGCCTTTTTTTCACCGTTTGAGTTGCAGGATTTGTCCTCCGATCCCAGGAAATACCCATCGGCGCATGAGCACTGAATGTTTCCTCGCTCCACGCGACAGAAATGTTCACAGCCGCCATTTTTATTCTCGCAGAGCTCCGGTATAACTGCAAAAGACAAAGGAAACACGTGTATGTTTTTACTACCCATTGGGAAGCTCAACAAGATGTTATGGCGAGAAGGTTCCAAAGTCCAATGCCGCCGTTTTTTGACGTTTGCCGTCCAGAATGATTTTGGTTTGTTTACCGATTTCACAGTTGAAGCCCTGGTAGCCGGGCTTGCAGTAGCAGGTGTAGCTACCGATTCCGTCTTTGCAATGTCCTTGATGAGCGCAGGGCAGCGACTCGCAGGCATCGCCGTCTGCAGGACAAACGGCAATTTTATCGATATTTAGAACCTGCTTTCGTTTCAGGTTCTACAAAGACTTGTTTTCTTTTGTTTGTTTCGTAAAGGTGCATTCTCTGCTTGAAGCACGTGATCCGGTTGGTTTAGTCATTTTGAAGGAACAAAACAAACTCCTTACCAACGTATTTGGCCCAGAATTCATTCTGCAGAAAGAACAGAATTAGATCAGATCGAGAGTTTAAGCTGCAAATGTTTTGTTTAAAACTTGAAAACAAAGCAGCTTCAGTCAAAACTCCAATCTGATGTTTTTTTACATGTGGATCTTGTTTTCTAACAAGTCAACAAAGTAGCAAGAAATAGCTTCAATGCTAACTGTTGCTAAAGTCTTGGTCAAATCAAACACCTTTGGAGTTGTTATTATGGAGCTAAGCTAGCACTCTGCATCCAGGCTTTGTGCTAAGCTATCTTAAGTTAAGCTAAGCTAGGACATACTATCTGACTATCTAACTTTTAGACTTGTTGTGAAGCGTTTTGTTTGAGGGCAGTGTTTTATTTGAAGGAGGTTATTACAGTTTTAACAGCGTCTTCGAAGATCTCTCGTGCCTCCTCCCAGTTGCAGCGCTCCTCGTTGCACTCCCTCTCCATGTTGCCTTGTTTAAGTTCCTCTAAAAAGCTGTTGGCTCGTCTCTGTCGGGTCAGAACTTGGCTGGCCGCCTTGCTCTCCAAAAAGACTGCAAGACAAAGAGTTTTATTTTATCATTAAGTTTCAACAAAATGTCCTGAAAGACTGAAATATCTCAAAAACCGTTGGATGGATTGTGATGAAATGTGGTTCAGACATTCATGTTCACCTCAGGATGAATCCTACTGATTTTGGTGATCCTCTGACTTTCAGTTATTGCAACCAGTAGGTCAAAGTTTCACTCAACTATGAGATTCATGGTTCCCTGAAGATGTATCCTAATGATTTTGGTGACTTTTCTTTAAGCGCCACCATTAGAATGACATTTAAAGTTTTGAGTGAAATGTCTTGACAACTTTTGAGTGGATTGTCATGAACCTTTGTTCAGAGTTCATGTTCCCCAGAGGATGACCCTTTGACAGACTTTGGTGATCCTCTGACTCTTTAGCGCCACCTTGAGGTTGACATTTATGGTTTTAAGTGAAACATCTCAACAGCTATTGTGGGATAAAATGTGGTTGATCATTCATGCTCCCCAGAGGATGAACTGTAATAACTTTATTGATCTTCACTAGGTCAACATGTTCATGTGTCCACATACTCTGTAATAGTTACGTTAGCTCCATCTACTTTTTTTAATATCTTCTGAGATAAATTCAATGTTTTCAGAATGACATTTTGGACCAATCACGGCTCAGCAGGTGTTCTCTTTGTCCAATAAGACGTAAGAAGAGATTCTGCTGCTGTCAGTCAAATCAAAGAAATCTGTTGAAATCAACACATGAAACCGGACGAGGTCAAGGGTCACCTTGCAGCCGGCAATCAACATACAACCCCCCCCAAACCCCCCCCCCACATGTGTCTTCTCCACCTCGCTTCAACGACTACAAGTTTATAAGTCGGTGAACTTACCGACGTGAGCGGCGGTCAGGTGCAGCAGCAGGAGGACGAGCGACGGCTGGTGAAACCAAAACATGGCCCCGGATGGACGTGAGCTCGGCTGAGTGTGCTGAGTGGAAGTAATGGAGTCTGAATGTGGAGAGAGAGGGAGGGAGGGAGGAGGGGAGGTAGAGAGGGCAATGACCTGTATTAGTAGAGGGAGGGAGGGAGGAAGAGGTGTTGACATGTTCAATCTGCTGTGATCAGACTGGGTGGGGCTTATCTGATGACACACTGGAGCTTAACCATATTATGTTACACTGATAAAAATAAAACACTGTCCATTACAACTTTACCAGTGAACTTCAAGGTCCAGAGTGCACTGCTTTCAAACTTTCAAGACTGTATATAACAAGTGGTTTGGTTTTTGGCGGTTGCCATCTTGGTTTCTGGCCGTCAACCGTCACCACCTTGGTTTCTGGCCGTCAACCGTCACCACCTTGGTTTCTGGCCGTCAACCGTCACCACCTTGGTTTCTGGCTGTCAACCGTCACCATCTTGGTTTCTGGCCGTCAACTGCCACCACCTTGGTTTCTGGCCGTCAACCGTCACCACCTTGGTTTCTGGCCGTCAACCGCCACCATCTTGGTTTCTGGCCGTCAACCGTCACCACCTTGGTTTCTGGCCGTCAACCGTCACCACCTTGGTTTCTGGCCGTCAACCGTCACCACCTTGGTTTTTTGTGACACTAGAGGGTGGAGCTTAATAAAACCGAACGCTGAATATTCATTTTCAGGCGACAAAAAGGTTACAATGAACTTTAATGAAGTGAGAACACCAATGAAATAATAGCAATAATACTTTTACTGTGACAGAGTATTTATGCGGTGTAGTATTGGTACTTTTGCTGCAGTAAAATATCTGAATACTGATACTCCTTCAACAGGTGTTGTAAATTAGCGTTTCGCTACAAACACTAAACAGTGCATCTGGTCCTTCTGCATAAATGTATGTTGCAATTCTAATGCTGCTGTGATGTCCATATCAAATAAAATAAACGGAACATATATGTATTGCTACATTTGGATGAACTTGACCACAAAGACTGCAGATGAAAACCAGATGTTTCATACAGACAGAAGTATTGAGGAGGATCGTACACGTCGGTACGAAGGAGGTGAAGGAATTATTCTCCTGAATTATTTTGGCAGAGCGAGAGTCGTTTACAGTAAACAAGTTTTTCAAACACTGACTCAACATGCAAATATTTACTCCGCGGACTGAAACACAACTCCAGCTGTGGAAAAAGTATTTAATTCAAGTAAAAGCAGTCAGTTTGTCTAGTTCGTCTAAAAGTACAACAAGTGAACTACCTATTAATCTCATAATTGGGTTGGAAATACTTTTAATTCTTTCTTGAAAAGTTTGGAAACATTTGTTTATGCCAAAGAATAGTCTGTAAATAATGTGATGTTTTTACAGTTTAGTTAATTCAGACTTTATTATGTGTGAAAAACATTGATCACAAATAATCCATCACTTCTCTTCAGTAACTTTTATTCAGCTTCTGAACATCTCGGCCAAATACAGCGACTTTGACGACAGATGATTCCAGACTCTTTATAAGATTTTTGACAGACCTAAAAAACGAAGTATAACAGGAAAATTAAAGCACATAAAGAATTAAATCTGGTTCCTGAACATCATCTTAGTTTAAACTAGTTTCTGTTCCAGCATCTCTAAAGCCTTCTCATTGGCTGGCGTCATGGTGGGCGGGTCCTTCATGAAGCCCTCCGCCCAGTCCACAAAGTTGGCCATGTTGGCGTACACCCCATAATACCCCGGGTGTGAGCAGCCCCGCCCCCATCCGACCACGCCCGTCAGGAAGTGGGTGGAGCCGTAGAGCGTGACCAGCGGGCTCCCGTCGTCTCCGCGGCAACTCTCTTGGCGACCCTCCAGGTACCCGGCACACAGCATGTTGTCGGTGAAGTTGAACTGGGCTCTCTGGGAGCACTGGGAGTTCTGGTGGATGGGCACGGACATCCTGCGGAGGACAGGGGAGACCGGGGCGACGGGGCCGCCGGGCTGGTCGGCGTTGCCCCCGGAGGTCCTCTTGCCCCAACCGGACACGGTGTGGTAGCGGACCGGCAGCAGCTCCCGCCGGGCGAAGTCTCCGGTCGGCAGGCAGACGGGGGCGACGTCGCGGTTCAAGGTGACGGGACGACTGAGCTGCAGCAGAGCGACGTCGTTATCGCCCGTTAATGGGACGAAACCTTCATGGGCGACCGCCATGAAAACGGGTAACTTCTGTTCTGAGCCTTCTTCTACGTCCAAGTTGTGTTCCCCTGGTTACGGAAAAGACACCGTTAAACGAGACATTAATAACGTCAACTTTACTAAACTACTTTACTAACTACATTACTAAACAACTTTAGAAACAACTTTACAGAACAACTTTGCTAAACAACTTTACAAACAACTTTACAAACAACTTTGCAAACAACTTTACCAAACAACTTTACCAAACAACTTTGCTAAACAAGTTTACAAACAACTTTGCAAACAACTTTGCAAACAACTTTACTGAACAACTTTACTGTACAACTTTACTGAACAACTTTACTAAACAACTTTACTAAACAACTTTACTAAACAACTTTACTAAACAACTTCTGTTACAACTAGTTATTGATTGGTTATTGGTTATTGATTAGTTATTGGTTATTAGCTATTGATTAGTTATTAGTTATTGATTGGTTATTGGTTATTAGTTATTGATTCGTTATTAGTTATTGATTGGTTATTAGTTATTGATTAGTTATTGGTTATTAGTTATTGATTCATTATTAGTTATTGATTGGTTATTGGTTATTAGTTATTGATTCATTAGTTATTGATTGGTTATTAGTTATTGATTATTAGTTAGTTATTAGTTATTGATTAGTTATTAGTTAGTTATTAGTTATTGATTAGTTATTGGTTAATAGTTATTGGTTAATAGTTATTCATTATTAGTTATTCATTATTAGTTATTGATTAGTTATTGGTTATTAGTTATTGATTAATTATTGGTTATTGGTTATTAGTTAGTTATTGATTAGTTATTAGTTATTGGTTATTGATTAGTTATTGGTTATTAGTTATTGGTTATTGGTTATTAGTTATTGATTAGTTATTAGTTATTCGTTACCTGCCACCACAGTGAGGCTCTGAGGGTTGTTGCCGTGGATACAGTGGGCAGCGGTGACGACCCAGTCCGGTTTGATCAGAGCCCCCCCACAGTGACTGTTTCCATTTAACTGAACCAGAACCTGAAGGACGGATAGGAAGGAAGGAAGGAAGGATAGAATGCTGCTGGGCAGACTAACATGAAATCTGAGGTACTTATTGATTGTCCCCAGAGGATGAACCGTGACCATCTTGGTGACTCTTTGACCCTCTAGCACTAGAACAACAGAATTAGCCTCTAGGGGCCGCTAGCTGCTGTTTACCTGCCAGGGACACCCTCCTCTGGGACACTGGTTGCCTCCCACCAGTCTGGTCTGACCCACCACAGACTGGTTCAGTCCTGAGTCCTGTGGAGGCAGCTGACCACACGGATACTCCACTGAAACGCACAAATACATGTAGACAAGTACTGAGTGCTGTGACGTAAAACTAGTAATACCGCAGTGTAGTAATACTCTGTTACAAGTCTTAAGTAAAAGTACTAAAGTATCAGCATCAACATATAGTTAAAGGACCGAAAGTAAAAGTATTTATTCTGCAAAATAATATATATTATTATTACATCAATGTGTTCATTACTTTAATGTTGCAGCTCATTTGAATGACTATGTACTGCTGGTATTTTAATATAATAATACATCATCATTTATTAGTTGATTAATAATCTAAATCTGTAGAATAACTAAATGTAGAGCAGTAAAAAGTACAATATCTACTCTGAGAAGTAGAAAAATACTCAAGTAAAGTACCTCAAATGTGTACTGAAGTACAGTACTTGAGTAAATGTACTTGGTTACTTTCATCACTGTTTAATTGGAGGATTAAATATTTGATTTTGAGGAAGTTATTTTATTGTTAAACAATCGTTTATTAGATATTTGATGTTTCAATGATAATAAAGTGATAATTAGTTGAGTTTCCTCTGTTTCTAGTCTGCTGCCTCCTGCTGGTCACCTGCTGAACTCCCTCTACGTGAGTACACAAATGTAGATGTACTACTCACAAACACCTGATCACAGTAAATACAAATAGTATTGGTAGTATTGGTAGTATTTGTACCCTGAGCGACACACTGCCGCCCGTCTTCTCCCAGTTTGAACCCGTCGGCACAAAAACATCTCCGTCGATCTGCTGAACCGTCACAGAAATGTTCACAGTGTCCGTTCTGATAGAGACACTTCAGAAGGTCTTCAACCACTGGAAGAGAAGGTTCAACACACTTCACCATATAATGATACCATGATATGTTCATTGATAAGATAACACGTCTACTGAAGATCTGATAATATGTGAATACATCTGTTTCCTCTATATTTTAGGATGAATGAGTATAATTCATATTCTTTACCAGTCTGACAGTATTGTCCTTCAAAGCCTTCGGCACAGTAACATTGGTAGGACGTGTCCAGGTAAACACATGTCCCGTTGTTACGGCACGGGTTCACCAGGCAGGGGTCCCGACCTCACACAAGATAGTATTATTATTAATTTGAGATCATACTTTAAAGTGTACAAGAACCTGAATATGAGACAAAAGAAGCTCTCAAACAAAGTTCAACAAACAGAAGAATGAGGATCAATAAGGCTTCAGTGATTCATCACGACTGAACTAATGAATGTACTGATCCGTTCATCAGAGTGTTCACTAACACACAAAGACAAACACTAAAGATACTTCAGTCAAAAGATATTCAATCTTTATTCTGCTTCTACAGAAAGTACAAACTACCTTTTTAATGTTAAGGTGAAAATTGTGACAACAAATGATAAATAATAAGCAAAGTTAAAGGAGTTACTCACGTTCATAGGTCAGCCAGAACTGTTTCTGCAAAGAAATAAACACATATGTTTTATTACATGTATGTCCAGTTTACAACTATGTTAGTGTATTATTTATAATAACTGCACACTAGAGTGTATTATTTATAATAACTGCACACTAGAGTGTATTGATTATAATAACTGCACACTAGAGTGTATTAATTATTGTTATGTGTTGTGTTTTCTCCCCTGCTGCCCTTCCTTTTTTTCTCTCTCTCTCAGTCTCCTTACAGATCAATCAGGTGATTGGATTCCACCTGTGGGGGCCAGTTGTCCTGATTGGTGATTGGCACCAGCAGCAGGCTGGCCAATCGGTGGAGGGAGAGCCGCAGACAAAAGGCAGGAAGCCTCGGCGTTCAGGGGAACTTCATTTCACACTGTTTATGTCAATTCTGAGAACTGAACGTGTTAGTATTTGTGGTGAGAGGTTGCGGACAGTAGGTGAGTCTGAGGTACCCTGTACGTTGGCACACACGTAGGATTTTCTGTGTCTAGATACACTAGATTTATTGGTCGGTGCCTCATCTGTATTTGGGTTTTGGTCAAGCAACATTTAGATAAGTTAGAGAAGCCATTTTGTTTGTTGATTTCAGAGGTTAGTTAGTTCGGCCAAGTTCTGTTATCTTTGTTTCAATTGTTTGGCACGACCACACCTGTCCCATCCTCTCCCAAATCTTGTGTTGAGACTCGCTCATCTTTCACTGTCAGTGAGCATAATAAATATTGTTTATGGTACACGAGCTATTTGGTTTTCATTTGGGGTGTTTTGTGTTAGTCCCTAAATCCTTCCCCCGGACAACAGAGAAGGGACGTAACACACAATAACTGCACACTAGAGTGTATTAATTATAATAACTGCACGCTAGTGTATTAATTATAACTGCACGCTAGAGTGTATTAATTATAATAACTGCACACTCATTTGTATCATATATTCAACAAAAGTTTTTCCATGAATAAATCTCTTTTGTTTGAACTCTTAGGGTCCAAAGGGAAAAGGTCCAGAAGGTTTTTATTTGTCTGTAATAACTCCACAGAGGCTCTCTGAGTGTCTGATGGTTAAACATGAAGACATTCCCATCTCACCGTCTTTCCGTCGTCTTCAAAAACTTCCCTCGCCTCCTCGTAGTCACAGATCTCCTCCACACATTCCCTCTCCAGGTTTCCTTGTTTCAGCTCCTCCAGGAAGCCGCTGTTGGCTCTCCGCCATCTCTTCAGCACCTTGTCAGCCTCGTGCTTCTCTACAAACACTGAATCATAAGAAAACATCTTTTATTCCACGTTGTCATCACAGGTGCAGCAGGAAACATAAATAAAACCAAATGATTCTGTGTGTTTATACCTCACTAACATGCTAATAACATGCTAACAACATGCTAACATGTCTTACCAGCAGCAGCGATGGCCGACAGTAGAATCCAGACGCAGCAGCAGCTCCTCAGCAGCATGATGAGTTCAGAGTGACTCAACAAAACGGTTACAGTGTTTTTAGGCTTCTGTTGGACGACGCCCACCGACCTTCTAACCAGGTCAGTAAACATATCAGCTACTTATCAGCTGGAAGTACACAAGTAGTATCAGTTAGAGGAGCACTAGAAATACTCCATAAGTACACGATACACATGTGTACATGAAGGATAAAATGACAAACATAAACATCATTCAGAGGTTTTATTATATTCACACAATGAAGATACAATTTGATTTATAGTTTAAATACTTTATTACATTATGTAATCATAAAAAACTGATTCATATAATAATTCATAAAACAAAAGATGAATAAAGACGTCTTCCATTTAATGATGACTTAAAAAGTAATTTTTTACTCTTCCCATCGATATCTATTGCAACATTCACTGCTTACATGTGTGTTATTTTTAAAGCCAAGCTACTCTAATAGAATGAAAGTCTGCTGATACATAAAACATGAACCTCCATCGTGGACCTTCAGGTCGTCCGGTTGTGCGTCGAAGCCTCGCTGGCGTTCGTCGGCAGGTCTGCGGTGGCGGTCCGGTTGTGGATCCAGTCCAGGTAGTTGGACACTCGGGTGTAGATGCCGTAGTTTCCCGGTCGGGCGCATCCTTTCCCCCAGCTGACGATGCCCAGCAGGAACGCCGTCTTCTTGTACTCCGTCACCAGCGGGCCACCGCTGTCCCCTTTACACGAGTCCTCCCGGCCCTCGATGTATCCGGCGCAGAACATGTTGTCTGTGATCGACACGCCGCTCTCCTCCTGGCACTGCTGAGTCCGGATCCGCGGCACCCTGAGCCGCCGGAGGATGTTGGAGGTGGGTCCGTCCTCCCCCCTCCTCCCCCAGCCGCTCACCGTGTGCCGGCCGACCGCCCAGAGCTCGCGCTCGGCCAGCGACCGCGTCGGCAGGCAGGCCGGCACGGCGTACGGCGTGTAGACGACGGGCGACGCCAGGTGGAGGAGGGCCATGTCGTTGTCAGCGGTGATCTTCACGTAGTCCTCGTGCATGAAGATCTCAGACACCTGGACTAGCTGCTCCGTGCCCTCCGTCACCGCCGTGTTGTGCTCACCTGGCGGACACATCAATGGTTTTAATGATTTTAATGGTGGAACATGTCTGTCGGTTGTGAACCGAGGGATTCGTACCTGCGACCACCTTCAGGAAGCGAGCGTCCACGTCCTCGAGGCAGTGAGACGCTGTGAGGATCCATGTGGGTTTATAGAGAACTCCTCCACAGAAACCTTTGCCTTTGTACACCAGCAACACCTTCAGAACACAACCGATAACTTGTGTTATTACAACAACCAAGAGGTCGTGTTTTATACATTTAAAACGTGGAACTACCAGAAGATCTTTCATTGGCTCTGATGGTGATGTTATTCACTAGCAGTCCCTGTTTTTCTGTTTTCATAAGGTTTTTGTTTGTTTAGTCATCTCTGGAAACTTTCCACCAGAATCTGGTTCTGGCAGAACTTCAGAGGTTCAGAGTCCAGTGAAGTAATGTCACAATCACAGGCTGCACAATAGATGAGTGACATTGGACCTCAGCGTACCTGCCAGGGGCATTCACCTTTGGGGCACTCGGTTCCTCCGACGATCCGAGCTCGAGAGTCGAGCTGCTCAGCTTTGTTTCCTCTGTGCAGCACCGGTACCATGCCGCACGCTATCGACTCTGAAAACACGGGAATCATTTAATATCTTCAGCGTTAATATTCTAATGAAACAGCAGAATATGAAGCAGATATTATTTCTGTACTTTGACGGAACATAAAGTGTTTGATAACTTTAAATGTGGTGTTCCACAGGGATCAATACTGGAGCCACTTGTTCACAGAGTGAAAAATATACAAATATAGATTAAATTAAAAAATGTTGTATGATAAATAAAATTAATTTAGGACCGATGGAGACCAACTGCAGCCAGTTCAAACGTTACTGGAGAAGAGTTTTCCTGCTGATGCATCAACTCATTCTGACAAAACAGACATAAAACCAGATGTTTCTTTTAACATGAAGCTCTCATGTGTTCACATTCAGACATTTTAATACTTTTTGAGTTGGAGAATGTTTTCTAATGTGAAAGACAATAAAATAAACACAAATCTTTCCTTCCACCTCTTGATATGCAGCTCTGTCCGTCAACATGCAGGAAGTAGCTGTCTGCACACGAGCAGTTCAGTCTTCGTCCTCCCTCGCCTTCATCACAGAAATGGTCACAGCCTCCGTTCTCCAGCAGGCAGCTGTCTCGAATCGTCCTGAAGTCTAAAATGTTTGAAATAGTTCACCGTGAAACATTTTAACCCTTTTTATACAATTAAATATGACAAACCTCTCAATGTATCAGCATTAAATAATTAATATTGACTGAATAGAAGAGACAGAAAAGCTTCCTTATGCAGACGACACACAGCTGTACTGTACTGAACTGTTGGGCGTTTAGGTCAGTTGGTTTGCTGACAAGTAAATCTGTGTGTCGTCTGCATATAAGAGAATATATATTTATTATACTGCCTGAATAGAATGTACAATAGGACCAAGAACAGAGCCCTGAGGTACTCCAGAGCTCAAACACTTTGACACTTTGTTAGTTTACCTGCAGACCAAGAATCCAGATTAGTTTTTAAGAATCAGTGGTTCATTTTGCTCACCGAGCTCACAGTTGAGTCCACTGAACTGCGGGAGGCAGAAACAGGTGTAGGACGATCCCTGAGGGGAGCAGCTGCCGCCGTTCAGACACGGAGTCGGCTTACAACTATCTGGAACTAAAGGACGACAATACAGTGATTATAATAAACAACAATAATAATAGTAGTGGATCACAGGATCCAGATGTTTAAGAACAAACTAGATCGATCTGAGTAACCAGGACACAGATCAAATCTGAGAAGACTTTTGATCATTTTAGTAACTTTAGAGGTCAAAACAAATTCAGTCTGTCGGTGGTTTGTATTTTGTTGCCGTACTTTATTAGAAAGCTCTCAGTAGAAGTTGTTAACCAGATTATTAATTATTTTGACTTTAATTTGTTCATTCAACCTTTATTTGTACACAGTAGTCCAATGCTTTTAAATAAATCAGGTAGACGATCATTAAAACGTAGAAACTGCAAATGAAAGATAATAATGAAACCCAAAAGCATTGAACCAACAATAGCTAAACTTTGAACGAGACGTTTCACTTCAGAGGTAATTTGTGTTTTATATTAATTTACAGCACCTCAGCGTCATTTAAAGTCTGGGTTCTGCTAGGATGATGGTCCTGGATTAGGGTTGGAACCATCATTAGCATTGGTTAGCAGCTAGCATGGCGAGACTATACCGGTATGAGATTGAAACAAAAGGTGTGGTTTCTTACGGTTGTACGTGCTCCAGAATTCGTCCTGAGGAAACAGACACATATATTATATTATATATATATATATATATATGAGGGAGAAAGAAATGAGTTTTAAATTTAAAGTAAAGAGGTCTGACCGTGGTCTCGGTGTGTTCGAACACCTCCCGGGCCTCCTCATAGGAGCAGCGCTCCTCCAGACACTCCCTCTTCAGATCCCCCATCTGTAGCTCCTCCAGCCAGCCCGAGTTATACCTCCGAGTCCGGACCAGGACTCCGTGGGCTCGATCCGGATCCAGGAAGACTTCCAAACAGAGAAGGAAAAGAGTTCGTCTAATGCTGCAGAACTAATAACGTTCAGCCTCGGCTGACCTTTATGTTGTGCTAATTAGCAATGCTAGCACACTAAACAAATTTTAAAGTAAAGATACAAGTTTTCTTCGACTTGAGTACTTCCTCACCTGAAGCCGGCCGGCAGCTGGAGAAGCTGAAGACGAAGGTGAAGAAGACTCTCAGCCACATTGTTGGACTTCACAGTTGGCTGCTGTGCTGCTTCTTTGTGGATCCAAAGGTGCAAAGTCTGGTCCACCCCCCCCCCCCATCCATTGATCACATGTTCCCAATGGAAATACTCCGTCTGACTAAATGTGACCCGTTCTGACTGCTGCTCTTCACCTCGGATACGTCCAGAGAAATTCTCCCACTTTAGTGTCCAGCTCAGATAAAAACATTACATTCAAAAAACGGAGGCTATGTTTAGCGTACCTTAGCACAAAGACTGGGAACAGGTAGAAACTAGCCTAGCGCCATCAAAACTAGAAAACTACAACTTCTGTTGATATAATGCTGCATTCATGTCACACAGGAGTTAAGTTCAGACAGTTTTCATTAATATTTAAGTTGTAATTTGATCCTAAATGGATCTAAACTTCACAAAACCAACTCGCATTAAGAAGTTTGTAGCTGCACTGAAATAAATAACATTTCTGTTTTGAATGAAACAAACATGAACACAGAAAGGTCTCTTCGTCTTTATTTATTTTGCCAGAACGCATAAAATAATCCCTTTAGATCTCAAACTGAATCTGATGAGACAAAATGATACAAATCACAAAATCAGCATTTGTATTCGTACACATAATACAACTTTTTATCTTGTGGTTCAGGTCTCGGGTTTGTGGACCCGGACCACTTTTCAGGTGGTGTACATGACATCCTGGATCCAGTCCAGGTAGTTGCTGACTTTGGCGTAGACCCCGTACAGGTTTTTACTGGCGCAGCCCCTCCCCCAGCTCACCACCCCCGTCAGGAACCAGGTCTTCTTGTAGCGTGTCACCAGAGGGCCGCCGCTGTCCCCTTGGCAGGCGTCCCGGCCGCCAGACTTCAGCCCGGCGCAGAGCATGTTCCTGGTGACGTTGAGCCTGGTGTGGAGGCGGCACTCCTGCAGGAGAACCCTCGGCAGCGTCGCCCGCTGGAGGATTCTGGCGGCGGAACCGCCCAGCAACAGGCGGCCCCAACCGGACACGGTGGAGTGGCGTACGGCCGACAGCGTTCGGCTGAAGGTGCTGTTCCATGCGGGGAGGCAAACGGGAACCACGTAGGATCCTAGTTTGATGGGGCGGTGCACCTTCAGCAGGGCCAGGTCGCTGTCATAGCTGGTCTTGTTGTAGCTGGGATGGATCCGCACTTTGACCACCCGCCGCCTCTGCTCAGTCCGTTCGTCCACGTTGAGGTCATGTTCACCTTACGGGGACAGAACCGTTTACATTTGACCTTTTCTATCAAGTAAATCAGACTTTACTTCCAACGTAACTTTGGCATTCTTACCGACGGTGACGTTGAAGATGCCGGAAGGTTTTCCCCAAACGCAGTGAGCTGCGGTTAGAATCCAGCGGTTGGACAGAACGATAGCCCCGCAGATAAAAACGTTACGCTCAGTCAGCAGAGCCTGAGACCAGCAAAGATACAAGAAAGATCACGAACAGCGTTTACGATGGAAAGGTCTGCAGATCGCTTCTCGCTCAGGAGTTCTTCAATACCCTTCAACCCAGACCTTTATCACTACATGTTGACTCTAAAGAAACTAAAGGTAACACCGTCATGTTCTTACCTGCCACGGACAGTGACCTTTGGGGCAGATCTCCCCGTTGACGACCCTTGGGCCAAAATGTATCTGAAGTCTTCCACAGGCCACAGGATCTGGACCAGAGACACAAAGACCGTCACTAAAGAGCTCGTCCCCACCTGGTTCCTACAGAGCGGCCGCTAATGTGTAGCCACTTAGCTACTGGGGACGTTGTTCGGGTTTGTTGCTAGGTGGTTTCTAAAGGTCTCAGTGAGGGTTTTTTTGTGGCAAACATGGTTGTCAGTGTAGTTGATGGTGTGTTTCCACGTGGCTCCAAAGTGGTTGCCAAGGAAGCGACTGGTTTTAATCTTTTACGCAAGTAAAAGGATCATAATACGTCTTCAAACTTCTGTGATCAAGATGTTGTTAGCATGCTAATCTACTGCAGAATCACCCCAGAAGAAAAACGAAAAGTCTGAGTGTCAGTTTTCTGGTCCCTGACGCCTCTGACGAGCTCTGACCTTCGGGCTCACAGGTGTTGGCGTCCCGATGCAGACGATAACCCGGAGCGCAGAAACAGACGTGAGGACGATCCGGAAACTGTCGGCAGAAATGTTCACACCCTCCATTTCTATAGCGACAGCCGTGTGACGTCACACGAGCTGCGTGGAGTCACAGAAACAAAAAACGTTGTTCATCACGACTTCTTCAACAGAAACCATTAAAACATAAAACGCTGCGAATACCTTTATCACAATGGGATCCATGGAAACCAGGTGGACACTTGCAGACGTAGGTGTCGACCTGTCGGGTGCAGGTGGCTCCGTTCTTACAGGGAGACGACAGGCAGTGGTCCACCGCTGCAAACAGGAAGTAGCATTTTAACAGCTGAGACAGGTACAATCAGTACGTTAAAATATTAAAAGCTGGAGTACCTGTGTAGAGCCTCCAGAAGGCCTCCTGAGAGAAGAAAACACAAGTTAACTCACAAGAAACCAGAACCATGAATCACACATTTGAGTCTGAACCGACCAGCTGCTGAGGCAGAGCGAAGATCTCCTTCGCCTCTTCGTAGGAGCATTTCTCCTCCTGACACTCGCGCTCCAGATCTCCTCTCCTCAGCTCCTCAAACAGGAAGTTGGCTCGACGATTGCGATGCAGGAAGACGCTGGCCTCAGGTCTGCTCACGAACACGCCTCCTTTATTCACACAATACGGGAAGAAGGAAGTGTTGAATGCTTAGCATTCTGGGACATGTAGTGAAATCCGTGGAGCGTGTTACCGACTGTGGCCACAAGAGGGTGACAACAGTTGGATTGACAGCTCCAATGATTAGTCATTATTTTTATTTAAAAAAGTTTTATGGTCCCAGGTTTTCAAACCAAGATGGTGACGACCAAAAACCAAGATGAACCGTTGATTCAGAAGTCTCAGGTGTACTTATGCTAAGCTAACATTAGTGCTTATGCTAGTACCTCCTCATTTATTATAGCTTAGCTAACGTGCTAACATAACTTGATCAACTGTTCAGAGAATTTCACAGTGGAGAGAAGTGAACGACTCCAAGTCTGATATGAAACTGAAGAAGAAGATGAAGAAGAGACCTGACACTGACCTCCAGGAAGCCCAGTGCATGCTGGGATAGAAGCGATGAGGAGTCGAAGGAAGAAGAGTCGCCTCGTTTCTCTGCTGATGGACGCCATGTTTGTTCTGATCAAAGGTCAGAAAAACACCCAAAACCCTCTCTGTGTACAACAGTACAAGAAGTATCAGATAAATGTACTTCAATTGTCAAAAGTAAAAGTACTCCTGATGCTCCTTCATTATAGAACAGTTTTTATCACTGATTCATGAAAGAGTATTTTAATATGAAGACGTACTTTACATACTTAAATACTTGTAGTACTGCGTCATATACTATAAGTGACAAATATAGTAGTATTGCAGTAAAAAGTACTTTATTTACAGCTGAGATGAATAATTTATATCAAAGTTAAACACAGAAAAGTCTTCACCAATCTATCAACAAACTTCAGCGGCTCAGAAAACTAAAATATAAATGATGTATATTATATAATATGTGACTTAAATATTTAGAAAAACAAAAACGTATTTACTAAAACCAACAAAGTGAAAATTCACCATTAAAAATGTTTCCAGGAAACAAACTGTGTGTGTGTGTGTGTGTGTGTGTATGTATATATAT